GGGGGGAGAGTGGGCGTAGAGGAGCTCGCGCCGCTGCTGCTGCTGCTCCAGGCCTCCGCCTCCTTTCCTGCCCCGCAGACACACAGGCAGCGGCAACAGTAGCAACAACACGTGCTTCGCGCGGGCGGCATGGAGCTGGAGGAGCTGGGCATCGGGGAGGAATGCGGCGTGTTCGGTTGCATCGCCGCCGGCGTGTGGCCCTCGGAGCTGGACGTGCCCCATGTCATCACGCTGGGACTGGTGGGCTTGCAGCACAGGGAAGGCGGGGGTGGGGGGAGGGAGTGGAAACGGGCCCGAGGGCCTGATTCCCGGCAGTGGGGTGTTGCTGCGGACGGGAAGGCGCACCAAAGGTCCCAGCCTTGTACGCGCGGACTTCGGAAGTCAGGTTCTTTGAATCGAGGGAGTGGGGTTTTGCTTCCGAGTAAATATGGACAGGATAGGTCTCTCTCTCTCTCTGCTGGGAGCTGCGGTAAAGAAAGGTCAAGACGGTCCCTGTGCATGGGAATAAAACTAAGTTAATTCTGCAGGGAACTTTTTTGCTAACAGGGCTGGAAACGGAGACCACTGCCGCTGGCCGTTTCCTCGTCCTCTTAAGAGATATTCGGTAGGTTGCAGGTTAAAGTGCAGCCCTGTACGGAAGTTTGTTCGCTTCATTCTGGACTTATCGGTGCGATTAATTAGTCTTCAAGTGGGGATGCCGGATACGACTGATCGGATACTTGGCTCAAATGTTTATAATGTTGACATCAGATCTCAGTGGTCTAGTCTTATGACTGCCTTGTTCAGTGTTGCGTGATCTTATCCGCTGGCCACAAATCCTAGTGTTTAGTTACGCATCTGGAACTCTTTTATAGTTCACTGGAAAGCTAGCAGATACCTCTAGGGTAAAGTGGTGATGGGCTGTTTCACCTGTGGGGGGGAAACTATGGTACTTCTTGTGGATGAAGACAGTATACAGCCCACTGAGCCTCCTACATTTGTGAATTCCAGGTGGGTCTGTGGCATTTTGGAAAAGGATGACTTCTATTCCATTTTATGCTCTTGCAAAATTGGAGTTTGCTAGCTTCTGATGAAATGAGTTCTTCTGACTTACAGAAGAGTGTGCTGGAATAAATTTTGCTAGTTTCTGAAGTGCCACAGGACTCTTGCTTTATGCTCCAGTGCCAAGAAACATGTTCTAGTATAAGTTTTGGGGTATCAGAGCTCACTTCATCTAATATGTAACTTCTTGTTAGAGTGTACATTTATTGGATTTATGCTTTTATATTCACAATGGTCTTAACAGGGAGCTGGGATTCCCCCCCGCCCCCGTTCTAGGTGCTATTGCCTTGCCTATCCTTCTGTAACTTCTTATTGTATCAGTTTATCTCGCACTACAAACAAACAACCTTTATTGGCATAACAACCGAATTATAACAGGGAGGAAACAGTCTGAACAGTCAAGGGCCTGTCTGCTGATACATTGCTTCGCTTCCTAGCTGCCTTATCTTGGACTAGATTCTCTGTTAATCCTACTTTGCCTATCTAAAAACTGCTGAGTTGCAACTGATATGCTCAAGACAATGCTTCCACCTGCACTGAATGGAGACCTAGGTTTTCTGTCTCATTACCAATGCTGATTTCTCCACGCCTACTACCTCTCTGCATATCACCCCTAATCCAATCACACCTTCTATTGTCATTCACCTGCTAATGTCATTTGCCAACTGAAATCACTCCACTTTCCAATGTATAGGGCAGATGGACTGCATTCTAGAGGCATCTGAAGAAGTGAGCTGTGACTCATGAAACCTACCACAGATTTTGTTAGTCTTTAAAGAGCTACTGGACTCTTACTCTTTCCTACTATCTAAAAACAGTTAAGGGCAACCCACTCTGAGCAAACCGATTTCTCTTAAGCCTGTCTCCCTCCTCCCTTCTATTTGAATATGAAAGCTCAGTTATAATGGGTATCTACTCCTTTGCATCTGATCAAATTAACTGACTCAAAAAGTTTATCCTGGAATAAATTTTGTTAAGGTACAATCTGCTAAATCCCATTAAATTAAATGTGTCAATAGACTCCTATCTGCCCTATATTGGCTCTTTTTGTCACTCCAGTTTCCATGTTTTTTATATAGCTTTTCATCCTACAGTTCATTGCATACAAATGGGTTTGTGTTCTGAATCTGAGCAGTGATCATCTACAACCTCATTTGCTTGGAAGGTGATCCTCCCCCAGATCTTCGCTCACCTAAATAGAAGTACCGAGACTGGGAGAGAAAGCTGCTTGCATCCCAAAACAGCAACAATAAAACCCTGTGGCAAAAAAAAGTATTTCCTGTTGCCTGGCTTAAAAGCTGTAAGCATCTGAACACTCTACGTCTGTGCATACATACTTGGGAGTAAACATTATTAATCTCATGGAGACTACTTTTGAATAAGGATGCAGAGATCCGTAGCACACATTTCGTTACTCCTCTAGCAAAAACCATTCTAGACAATTTAAGACATTTGGGTTCTTGAGACAGAATGGCTCTTCACATTTTATTCATTTAGCAAAAAAGGAGACTTTCCTTCCCTTCCACCTGAAGCACCCTGTGCTTTAATGACAGGTTCACTCTAGTTTGCACCTACAACTGCCTAAGGCCTTCCTGCCCACCCCCATCCTCTTTACTCACATTAATCCTTAACTTCTACCTTCACTCCTGGCATTGTCTCATTTAAGGCAGGTGATGTGTCAATTGTGCAGGTTCATCTAGATTATAATAGCCACACTGTTTGCATATCTTGAACACCCGAGATATCATGAACAGGCTAATCCTAATTGAATTTGCTGAGACATAAATGCCCAGGCTAACCCAGTCTTGTCTAAGCAGGGTCAGCCCTGTCTGGTATTTGGATGGGAGACCACCAAGGAATGCCAGGGTCATGATACGGAGGCTGGCAATGGCAAACCACCTCTGAACGTCTCTTGCCTTGACAGCCCCGTGAGGTTGCCGTAAGTCAGCTGTGGCTTGATGGCACTTCCCACCACCACTTTAGAGGTAACATGATGAGGATCAGTCCAGTAGCACCTTAAAGACTGCTACAGACAGACTAACACAGCTGCCCATCATGTTGGGGATCTGTCTGTCTAGTGTCTATTCTGGCTTTCTGTATCATTGCTTTCATCAAGGGAGCATTCTGTTATTTACTTCATTTATACTCCGCCTTTCTCACCAGTGGGTCCCGAAGCAGCTTACATCATTCTCCTCCCCTCCTCCTCCCCTCCATTTTGCCCTCGCAACAACCCTGTGAGGTAGGTTAACCTAACAGCATATGACTGGCCCAAAGTCACCCAATGAGCTTCCATGGCAGAGTGGGGATTTGACTCTGGATACCCTGGGTCCTAGTCTAACCACTCTGCCACACTGGCTTATTCTGTGGTCTCCAGCACTGCGCTCTTAGTGAAGCGAATTTGCTTTTTCTTATTCAGCATCACTTAACTCTTAATAAGGCCACAGTGGCCCACATGATTAGATACTGTCTTTAAGAGCCAGTTTGGTGTAGTGGTTAGGAGCGTGGACTCTGAGCTGGGAGAACCGGGTTTGATACCCAACTCCTCCACATGCAGCTGCTGCTGGTGTGACGTCCTCTCCTCCGTTGTGCCCTCGCAACAACCCTGTGAGGTAGGTTACGCTAACAGCATGTGACTGGCCCAAAGTCACCCAATGAGCTTCCATGGCAGAGTGGGGATCTGACTCTGGATACCCTGGGCCCTAGTCTTACCACTCTGCCACACTGGCTTATTCTGTGGTCTCCAGCACTGCGCTCTTAGTGAAGCGAATTTGCTTTTTCTTATTCAGCATCACTTAACTCTTAATAAGGCCACAGTGGCCCACATGATTAGATACACCAGTTTGGTGTAGTGGTTAGGAGCGGGGGACTCTGAGCTGGGAGAACCGGGTTTGATACCCAACTCCTCCACATGCAGCTGCTGCTGGTGTGACCTTGGGTCAGATACAAGCAGTGTTCTCTCTACGCTGAGTTAGTGTGAGCTAGCTCACAGTTTTTTAGCCTTTGGCTCACACATTTTTGTCTTCGCTCAGGAAGGAGGGCTCCAGAGCAATCTGATTTATGCAGTAGCCAAATTGCTCGCTCACAACTTTAAGGCCAGTAGCTCACAAAGCAGAATTTTTGCTCAAATGACTCCACAGCTTAGAGGGAGCATTGGTTACAAGGTCTTTCAGAGCTGTTCTCTCACGACCTACCTCACAGGGTGTCTGTTGTGGGGAGGGGGAGGGGAAAGGAGATTGTAAGGCGCTCTGAGACTCCCGAGTGAATGGTAGGGTATAAATCCAATTTCTTCTTCTTGCCTCTTGTAAGGATGATGAAACAGTTTGCACATTGAATTTCATTGCAAGCGGGATAATTCTAGTGCACCTTTTCGCTATGAAGTTCATGTGTGAACTATGCAATTAGGATTAGGTTCTACGTTATATAGATCTAAGTTTTAAAAAGCTAATAGGCCAACCTTTTTCGTTGCTTGTAAGTGTGAGGCCATAAACAGCTTTAATACTAGATCGTTCATGTAGTTTAGATTCTTTCATTAGGCCCTGGAGCAGTGGTACTCAATCCGCGACCGATGGAGAGCCACATTTGATATTACCAGTAAACAAAAGAGCCACATGATTTATGTATATGCCCTGTGCACCACCCCACCAAACACACACAAAACAATCTCAGATGCAGGTATTAATATGAAATATATAAATGTACCCTTTTTAAATTACCAGAAGACTTCAGAGCACGTAGGATTTTCTTTTTCTTTTTAATAATAATAAATCCTACAAAACTACACACTAACTAAAATTACAGCTATACAACGACCATATATGATAATAATTATTATCTTAAGTCAGAGCTTTTCTCTTATTCAGGTTAAGAATAAAAATTCTATTCTATTATTTCGATATGCAAAAGGATTTTCTTTAGTTGTCTCAGAGACAGAACAGAAGCAAGGTTTGATAAATCTCATACTAACTAATTTTATGATTGCGTTGTCTCTTATAACAATGGTCTGCCTCAGTGCTTGTCCAGTTTATGCATTGTACAGTGTATGGGGTATGAAGCGATGAGGCAAGGGAGCCAGCCAGCCAGCCAGCCAGTGTTAAGCTCTTAAATCCTGGTAGTGGATACAGATAGGGTCAGGACAGATCATAGTTATAAAAGGCAGAATAATAAGTAGCATATTTAAGCATTAAATCTGCCCACCGAGAAGTGCTTAACTGAGTTA